CAAACCGGTACTAGAAGTTGTACCGCACGTGACTGAAACGTTACTAGCTGTTAAGTAAACGCCAGCGTATGCGTGATGGGAAACGCATCGGGGCCTGCAGAGGTCGCTCTTTTTCCTATCAATTTGTCCTCTCTATGACAGACCTCTACTAGCAGGGAATCCTACGTTCGGATCACTTCACTGCTCAATTTGTCTTATGAGGACCTCAATGAGGAGAAAAGGCAGGTTGCTTCTTCTCTTTTTCTTAACATTTAAATTGAGGACCCACAGTTGAGGAAAGTTTAAAACAAAAACTTAGAGCTTATCTTTTAAAAAGAAAAAACAAAGAAAGAAAAGAAAAAAATTATCTATACCGCTGCTACAATGAAGACATTAAAAATAGAGGGGGCAACCGGGATCGAACCGGTGACCTCTCGATCTGCAGTCGAATGCTCTACCACTGAGCTATGCCCCCTTTCATATACACCTGCGGTAAAATTGGTCGGGTGATCTGTCCTTTCCTTCGTTTCCTGTTAGCATCGCCATTTATATGTTGCCTATTTCGTAATAATATGAGGATCATGGTTTGAAACAGAAACCCTTAGGTTGTAGTTTTTATAATTGTTGCCATTCTGACGCATATACTATGACGCGTGTCTCCATCCATGTTGATTCAGACCACTGTCCGTCCTAGCTAGGCTGTGCTATATTGCTGTGGAGGTTGCAGCTGGGTTATCAGTAGGCAGAGAGTTATTGACGCTTCATTTCGAACATTTCATTACATCGAGACAACTTTGTGAAGGGATCAAAGGCGGGCAAGTTTAAAATCTAACAGTTTCTATAGAAACTACTTAGTTTCTAACGTTCGGTCGTTTGAGGAATTGATACAAAAAAAAAAGGTTTATGAAGTTGGTACTTGCATGACAAGGTAATTTAGCCACCACGAAGGGATATCAAAGCTGACGCTTTGAACGCTTTTTTTCATCAGTGTGAATAAAAGGTTGTTTTGAAGAAGAGCTATCCGGCTCGAAGGGCCAATTCATAATTCAAGTTTCTTCAATAGAATTTTAAGTTGTTAGCCTGTGCGCAGACACTTTAAACCTTGTTTTTGGACTATATCCACACTATATATATGTGATACGTGGGCCGGCTGCACCGCAGGCTATAAGTTGTCAACGTAATGAAAAAAATATTAAGTGAGACTCACTTTCGTCCCGGCGGCGGGTTGTTTTAAAAAGCGGGTCGACGTAACGTTTACACAACCCTTTGAATGCTATGATAACCATTAGCAGCAAAAAGGGGGACCTCGCTGGGGTTAAATTTAAACTATTGTCTGGAGGAATTCCGGCTAGTGTTCTGTCACCTAAAGCTTGCTTGTTTTTCCACAGAAGACTTCGTTTTTCAGCACACGAGGCGGGTGGCAATAAAAACAGAGAATAATCTGTCTTTAGTCTAACTATAGAATTTGATTAGAAGTTTCAAAGGCCAGCCACCTGATCACGTACACTCACACAACTTCGTTTCTCAGGAGGATCGCACTACTAAAAATTATCTTCATTTAGATGAATCTGATTCGCTATAGTTCCCTTCGGAGTGTGGTGGACACACTTTCGCACCTGTATGACCGAAAGTACTAAAAATCGATTGAAGTGGTTGACTTATTTCGTTTCATCGCCGAAACACGAAACGGCCTCGTGTATAGTTAGCTAGCTGGTAAAAATATGTTATTTTCCATCTTTTAGCTAGGACATTGATAGATAACGGTAGTTTAATGGTTAAATCTAATGTGATAAGATAATCAAGTCCCATAGAGATATAAAAACTAGCGATTTGAACATAGTCAGCCAGCCTTCGCGGAGTTAAATCCCTCAAGCATTTATGAGGAGTTTTTTAAAGGGTCCATGCATGAGTGAAAAGGTATGACTTGAGGTCAGGTTTGTTGACGGATCAGTCTTTCCTCAGGACCTGCGGTTGAAAACTGCAAGAAATTTTGTTCCCGAAACACTTTTTCTTCAAATTTTAAAACAGGTTAAATTGCTAAACATTTATTACGGATCCAAATTAGCTTTTGCAATGGCAGGGTCATTCCTCTGTTCCTGTGGCAAGGGAGCAGGGTTTACCTCTATACAACCGCGTTATACCTTACTCCGCTAAAACTGAACTAAAGGGAATATTCTCCCCCTTAATAATTTATTAAGCCTGTTACAACTAGTAAACTTGCATGGTGGTTTATTATCCTAATAAGCAAGTGCCCTGCAAAAAACATCGAGAGGACGGAAAAGTCACTTAAGGGCGGCTAACAAGGCAGGCTTCTGGTGATTCACGCGAAGTCTGTGTTCGCCAAATCACATTGTCCCCCGTGTCGACCGCCCGTGTTATTGTGGAGAAACGCGCGGTTTTATTTTTGTTGCGTTTTCCTTGGGAAGTGAATAATCATATAGTAGGCAGAATTAGAAAAGGAAAATATTCACCTTAAACTGCTTAGACGCGCCAAAAAAACTGATTTTTAAAAACTTGAACTACGAAAATGTTCTCCACAGAAAATTTTCGGACGATAAGTTACGACGAAATTATGGCTCTTGATACGATGACATTTACACTAAGACTACCTAGATGATACAAGGGATTGCACATATGTTCAGTGAACTTCTTTCCGGCTCTATTAAAGATTGTTCAGTTTGGACGCCAGACAACACAGAACAACTTCAGCCGGGAAACAAACAACATATAGTAAATATGTTTGCAAAAAATACGTATTAAATTGCGACTACCACCGTATAGTGAAATAAGACGTTTGTATTTTTTTTTTTGGAAAAATTAGCAAAGGGGCCGTATTTGAAACCTGTCGAAACCTGGTAGCCGCCTGTTTGGGACACATGTTTTGCCGGAAAGTTTTTCCCTCCAAACATTTTCGCAGTTAAAGTTTACGAACTAAAGATAGCAAAAATGAGCCTTTTTCATGGTTTAATGAAAAAGACTGAAAGTTGGCCACACAAATTCAAAAAAAGAATGGCAAATACCTCATGACCGCGCAGGATTAGCTCAGTTGGTAGAGCCCTTGATTGCAGAGCGGGAGGTCGTGCGTTCGATTCCCGGGACCACATCAACACTTACGGTCTTAAAATAACTGAGAAATAAAGGTACTCCCTTTGCCTTGCAAATAGCTAGGTATTCGTGCGGCTCGGATGACCAGGTAAAATGGCGGTCCCGTCTCCACTAGGAGACGTAAAAATAGTGCTCCCAATTAGTACTTTCGTGCTAAATACATTGACACTCAAATAAAGCGCATTTTTCTTCATGCAGTAACATTGCCCTGTTTTTTGAGAAAACCACCAAGATATTGTTTACCAACCGACCAAATGTTTTCCTGACTGTCTGAAAAAATAATTGTCGCCGTCAATTGTCTCTAAAAAAGAAAACACAAGTGCCTTAAAAACTTTTTTTCTCCTTGGGTGATTCATACCTGATATCAAAACATTTTTTTAGCTTCTCTTCCCTGATATGTCAGCTTGGAGAGAGGTTAATTGTCTATCGTGATAATAGTATGGTTTGTTTGTGTTATATCGCATTCTTGTGTAATTACTAAAACAGCTGTTGGGACAGGTTTGCGAGAAACACAAGTGAAATTCAGGAGAAGAAGTGGGAACTTCTAAATAGAAGATAACTCTTCGAAATTTTCAGGTAAGGTCAGGCTTTAAGCATCTGATAACATGATGGAATTTTGTCAAGTAATTTGAAAATGAAGTGAAGCATATCTCATTTACTCACACTTTGTCGGTTTTAAATTTAGAACCCTCTGGCGAACTCTCGTAACAAAAAGATAGCATCTAACTTGAATTCCATTCATTTAGATTAAGCAAGATCGTGTATACATAGGACGCCTAAAGCGTTTCCCAACTGCACCTCGATGCTATGGAAATGGTGCTTACGAGCACGCTATTAGCGTTGCATTACAGCCTTCCATACGTTATTGGGTGGTATAAGGATGTACTGGAATGCGTTAATTTTTTTGAAAAGCGTCTAACATGAGCATAACTTGCTTATACAAACCGGTGAAATATTAGCCATGGCCATTGTTCATCCGCGATCAGAAAATTAACCACAAATCATTCCTCAAGTAGCTTTTCTCTGTCAACAGAAGTTATTGAGTCCCATTCCGTTCCGGCATTGTGGTCCATAATTCTTGCTGAAAAAGCATGTCGTTATTATGAAAAGTAATTTCTTTGCAGTTGTGCTTAAAGTGAAGATTTACGTTGAGGGCAAATGTTGTTGACCTCTTAAAGTGCACCGGTAAGCGATATAGAATTCGTCTATCAGTCTGAGAAAAAAGGCCTTTGAGAAATTTTTCGGCAAACTTCAAGGGTGAATTCCCGCAGTTGACAAAGAGTCTATTTCCGGTTAGCGTTGTGCGTACATCTTAAAAAGTTCATCACAGGTAACCCTAGCCTGAACTGAGTACTATTGTACAAAGGTGGTAAGTAAAGAGGGAAGGCTGAAAAGGCCGATCTTAGCTTAAAAGTGCGGCAAATGTACAGCTTAGGGAGAAACATTCCATGAGATGGATGTCACTATTTAACAGCGAGTTCCGTTTTCTCTTTGAGCTTTTTTCATCACCCAGTGCCGGCTCTTTTTATGTCCCTGTTTTTCACCCTGTCGGTCCGAAACTGTTTGTAAATATCACATTTATTGGCAATTACTATAGATAAGGCAAATTGTTAATTAAATTTGAAGTGTCTATTGACACATAGTACTGTGATCTCATTGGTAGAGGTTAGCAGTTGAGTGAACTCAATTAGACAAGTTGACGGATCTTGAGACGGTAACTCGATAGGCGTGTTTATGTCGACTCGCATAAAAAAGTGTCGCTAGATATCCGCGTTGCGTTAGTTTGTGACTAGCGGTGGGCTAAGTTCGGGTGAACTCTGGTCTACTGACTTGCGCTCCTCGTATAAAGTACAATTTATTGATCTACCTTCCCGGAAAGAAGGTAGCTCTTATTTTCTGTTGTGCTCAATCAAGATATGGGATTACCACAGTATGAGAAGTCTCTTGATTTGAGTCAGTCCCGGAGAAAGTACAGACCTCCCGGCCCTTCAAAAAGCAGACGCAAAGAAGGCTCGCTATCACAAGGTAATGGCCACGCGGTTGTAAAAGGCGACCAAAGGACAGTGGCGAATGTCCGCGAGCGGCAAAGAACACAAGCATTGAACGAAGCGTTTAACAAGCTAAGAAAGATCATCCCTACTTTGCCGTCAGATAAGCTCTCTAAAATTCAAACTCTACGACTGGCGGCGCGCTACATCGACTTCTTGTGCCAGGTTCTGGGCAATAACGAGAAACATCCGAACTCTGCTGCCAGTAGCTGTTTTATTGCTCATGAACGGCTAAGCTATGCTTTCAGTGTGTGGAGAATGGAGGGCGCGTGGTTTCAGCAACAGTAACAGAATTGGCCATTTCCCTCGCCTTGCGTTGAAAGATTGAAGTGAGCTACATAGTCTTCACCGAACTCAACGCTTTAAATAATTACTCTAAGCGAACATTCGAGGGCACAGATTCCGAAGCATGCTGGACAAGTCGATGCGTGTTACACGCCTCAATCTTGGACTGTTGTTAGCTTTCATGGATGGAAAACTTATCAAAAATTGCGTTTCTCAAAACAGACATTGTCATGAGGAAGTCCTTATCAAGAGAGTAGCTTGGATCGTTCGGCTCAAGTTCAGTTGTTGTCCGCACTGCATTAAAGACAGAAATTCTGAGATATTGTAGCTAAAAAGAGCAATGTTTTTTTTTATCTCATAAACGTATTAATATAAAGTCAATTTGCTCTTTAAGCGAGCTCAGTTTCAAAACGGTTATGTAGAAATTCATTGCCAGCCTCAGATAAATTATTGATATTGATCACGGCAATGCACTCTTTTAAGCTTATATCTATTATAAAAATAATGTTTTGAGTTACCTATTTAGAAGCATTTTTGTGGGTCTAAAATTAGTTGCTTCACCACGCTGCAATTAGCTTTCTAACTTCAATAGTTTTCTTGGATTCTTGAACAATATTGTAATTTGTTGTCAGTTATAATTAGCAGAATCCCAGAGAGTGGAATATTTGACGAATTTAGCAATCGGAAATCGGTGATAGAAATAAACGCGAATAGTTTTGGAACCTTACGTGAGTCTTTGTTTTGATTTTAAAGAATATTTTCACTTGAGCTTTCCAGGGATATAAGAGTTATATAAACAGAAATTTGCTTTGAATAAGATATCGAGAAGAGATGGAGGCCGTTTATCGCACGAACATCAAGGCGTGATCTGTGTGGTTGCTACTACACCCTACAAAAAGGGACAGCCTTTCCTGTTGGTTCGTTTGTTTTACAACACGTTCAAATTTTCGTTTTGTCCTTTTAAGATATCTTCTAGGACAGAACATTACTTAATAAGACAAATTCCGCTGAAATTTGTTGAAAAGATCACAAATCATGCCCATCTTCGGCAGGTTAACTGGTACGAAACCGCAGATTGTTTCCTCTGTGTGGTGTTCCTTTCAAGGCAAAATGCCGGTTTCTTTAAGTTATCATCACGCTGGAATATGCAGTTTTCGTTTCCTGTTTTTCCTTTTTCTGTCTTTTGATGATAAACTTAAGGATTACTGAATATTGAACAAACTAGATATGTGACGGTCAGTGTTAGGTACGGTAAGTTACAGTAAAAAGCCTTTTTGGGATCCTCTTTCTTTTCGTGATTCACGCACGTAAAGTTGTGCTACCTTTTACGTTTCTACTGATGGGGTGATTAGATTGAAATTGAAATTCTTGTTTAAGAAACCTTTTCTCCTATCTCGCTTTCTCGACCTCTGTTAGGCCCGTTTTAATTCGGCTTACCAACAGAGGCATCTCTACGTATTGGCATGCACTGCAGCGTCTTCTCTGTCTATAGCCACGAGGGTTTGACTCCCGGACAATAAAAACAAACTAAAAGATATAGGCGGTCCGTGAATCAGCGTGGATCGGTTATAAAGTCATCAAATCTAGGCCGTAGCACATGTTCGCTATATAGCGAAACAATAATGTTGTAATTATTTCCCAATCAGCCTGCAAAGAGTATTTCTATTTAATAGCCTGGTGCGCCTTGGTTAAAAAACATGGACATATGCGAGGCACAAGTGCTTTGTAATGGCTTGTACTTTAATGACCAAGGTCGTACCTATTTCGAAGGACGAGAGAAGTCCAGAAAATGACTGACCGAGTTAACAATCGTTTAGGCTGAGGGTAGTTTATTGCAACAATTCCTTCATGTCGCGTACATTCAAACTCTACTGAGGGTGAAAGCAATGAGGGTGAAGGAATATTTTTAGAAAATATCAGCACTTCCCTCTAATCCGGCATCGGTTAAAATCTTCCATGAGATGGTGTTTAAAAATGAATTAAAAGCGCAGTAATGATGTGTTTCCGCCATGTTTTGTCAGTCGGTTAGTAGTCAAGTGCGCGTAGCAAACACGTTATGATCTCCGCAGCCTGGCGAGGATTGTGCAGATGATTTCTCCATTGGAAAGTCGTGCAATTCTCGTTACTGTAAGGTCGCAATTAGCACCACCACAAAAATACAAAGTCATATCTCAGTAACAAAAATATCTCTTGGTAGGATTCAAGGAGGAACTACGAAAAAAACCCACATGTTTCCACAACTGTGGTCGAACAGCTTCGTTTGCGAGGGCTGTCCAGCCAAGAAAACGTGGGCTTGAGAGAAATTTTCCGGGTCTTACGCGATGAGAAAATGAGGGAAAACAGTGGAATACTGCCAAAAGTAGGGTTTTTTCTTTTCTTTTATCTTGATATCTGCGATAAGACTCTTCAGTTTTGCTTGGATAAATTAAAAGTAACTTACTTTGAAAATTGATTGTATCAGACATGTTTGGTAGCCAAGATCGATAACTGAGTCAGAGCTGTGACTATTTTCATATATATTAACCTGGAAAACAAGATATTTATCTCTTGGTTTGTCAAACTTGCTTAGTTGATTTTCCAACTGAGAAAAATTTGCTTCTCAAACGTCGAATTTTTTCCTGAAGTAAGAAGAATGTGACAATGTACTTTCAAGTATTGCCTGTTGGCGTTATCGCTTCATGTACAGTTTTTTCCTCATGAGTACAAAACTTTGTTCTTTTTGTTATTATTGAACTCATAATCAAGGTATTGCCATTTCGGACATTTCGTTAAATAATTTCAAAAAGACGGCGTTAAATCGTAAGTTAATCAGGTACCGATTTCTTTAAGAATCAAAAAATGTATTTATTTCACAAAAATTTCATTAAAGGTCGAGAATGATATTCAAAGAAATATTTAGAAAAGACATTTAATATCCTTGTAGACTTGGAAGTTACCGCGAAGGTATACCTCACCTTTTAATATTTTTAGCGAATGTCGGTTAAAACCAACCGTCGCGCAAGAGTACAATTCCATCACTTTTTAGTTTCTTCAGAGAAGGGAAAAACCTTGATTCTCTGCTATTTTAAGTGTTTTTAGGGCTGTTTCAAGGCGATATGAGCGGCACATCTGTAAAATTAATACTCTTGAATTCGTGAGCGCCGAATGGTATGCCTCACGGCATGCCGTTTTTTTAATGACAAAATAATTTGTGGAACTGTTTTTTTGAGACGGTGGAATCTGTGTGAGAGATTTTCGTCCATGCTTTGACGAAACCACGAACATTTTAATCTCCCTTTTCAAATTCCAGTTTCATAGGAATTCATTTACAGGCCTCGTTGCAACCTTTTCCTCATCTCACGTGGGAAACACTACCTTCTCCAATGCGTTTAATTCGTTGCCGGCAGAAAAAAAGTCCGATATCACGGTGTATTGAATTCCCGGAAACTGGCTTGCTCATGAACCACACCATTAATGTTGTTTTCTTTTTCACTTTTGGAGGACGTTGTTTTAGTTCACTTTCGAGAAGAATAACATACTTCCCATCCGAAGTATTCAGTTAGAAACACTTAAGAAATTTATGAATTGAAATACGGTTACATTGCAAGGTTAAGGTTAACAAATGTATATTTTTATTAGACATTGCCTTTGGGCATGTTTTAAGAATGGTGTTCACTTGATCGGACCGGTATCTTAAGCTTGGGGTGGAAATTTTAACAACCACCGGACACTGCGAAATGGTTAATTTTCAAAGACAAAAAACTTTTATTAGCTCCCGCGTAATATGGAAACAAGAATGACGGATGTACTTGCCGCGAACACAGAGGAAACTATTTCGCCCACTAAAACACAGCGACACATGCTCTACACAGAAGGAAAAGGAAATCACGATACCATGATTCCAACTCTATTTCTTTCTTTCTTTTCATTCCAGTACCTTTCATGGTCAGTCAATAACGTCGATAAATGGCTCCTGAGACAATAGCTCCTAGACGCAGTGTTTTATCACATGTCAAACACCAAGAAGTGATAAAACGACTGCCGAGCGACTGAGAGTTAATTAAAAAAAAAGAAAACTGACAGGTAGCTGACTGCTATTGGTAAACTTCTCAAGTTTGGCTGATTTTGATGAAAAAAAAAAAAAAACTTTTTCGCCCTGCGGGTTCTTAAACAAAATCACTTTTTTGAATGTAAGAGTCAAAAGAGGAGCTTTTCATAACACATCTGAACACTTGTAATATACGGCCCAGTATTTTATTTGTATTTCCTTTTTGAGCCGTCCAAGTACTGCATGAAATTTTAGCGCAAGTTGAGATCGATGGTGTGATCATTTACTAAAACTCCTTTGGCAGCATTGTAGTGTTACATGGGACAACACAGTTTGTTTTTCGTTAAAAAAGAAGCGCAAAGCCAAGTCCTTCTTTAGTTCATCACGGGCATTCTGGTTACCGCTTACACAGCAAGGGAGGGAAAGGAAAAACTGAAGTTCCGTTCGTGTAATTGGCGGCGAAGCTTGATGTTCTACGTCCTGTCTTGACTACTGCGCAAACTACCTCAGTAGCCGTCTCTTTTAAGCTAAACACTATGTTAGATATAAATATACGAACCGCTAGGTCTATTCAAATATATTCAGCTCTTAAGCATATTAACGGATACCAGTAAGATGGCGGACACCTCCCAAAAAATGGACACTGTAATTAGCTGATCCTAGCCATTTCTTAGTCGTTCAATTCGGAATCGTTGTAAAATATAGCGAGCGTTTAGCGGGCGCCCCCACTTTTTATCGGTTAACCGTTTAACTTTTAAGTCCCAAGGATGACTAATATCATTTTTCTTCTACCAATTAATAACAGAGGGAAAAAGAGAGAAAAAGTTTTGAGATTCAATTAAATGATTACCAGAGTGAAAATGCTTTGATCTTTTATCGAATTCTCAACTTATTCTCAAAGAAAATGTGCATATGGAGGTCAGTCTGGATAATTTGTATGTGGATACTGGGGCTTACTGAGGGTTAAATCGAGAGT